TTGCAGCAAATTCAAAGGCTTCTATTGTGCAGCATTTGGGAAGCTTGAGCACAGTAGCGTTTCCGCTGCTCCGATTGATCACAAACTTTAGAAAAGTGGTGATTGAGCAACGATCCCCATCAATTTGATACTCACTCGCAAATCTGTCCATAAGATTTTGAAAATTTGGACATTCAAACGCATCCCAAGGCCAGAACTCAATACATTCGTTGTCCGGGAAAAGGAGAGATTGCCAGCATGAAGGATTGAGGGTCGCCTTGTACCATGACTTGCACACAAAAGGGACATCCAAAAGCAGTGACTCCATTCCAACTTTCACCAACACTTTGAGCAAGCAGTCCATTTGTAAGTCCTCCCATCTTCGTTCGTTCATCTGCAACAACGATTTAATATAAATACATCTGTATACAGTAAATTAAAAAGAAAAAAAAACCATAAATTTCAAAAGAATACAAAGAAACCTGGGAAAACAATCATATGGTAATCCTTTTCCGATATAACAAGAACAAACAAGAGAATTAATTGATGGAGTGTTGGATATATAATTGTTCATTCAACAAGCACTTTCTGCATTCCAACAACAAAAAGTAGGAAACTAGTTACTAGTGCAGCAATAATATAGAGGCAACTACTTCACGAGGAAGCAATTCTAGTATTTCCTTTTGAGCAAGTAAGGCCCCCTGTTTTTTTTTTCTTCTCAAAAGCAAGAGACTCTTTGGCATCATCTGCTAAGCTAAAGCTAAGGAGTTACCAAAGCAAGGCAGGCCATAATTGTCCTATAACCAAAGAAATCATCCTTATTTTTTTGGGTAAAGAAATCATCCTTATTTAAGCTTCTCCTTACTTCCCTTTTTGGGCTTTTAATCGAATTCAGATTTGAGCAAACAAAAAAAAAAAAAAAAAAAAAAAAAAAAAAAACAAAAAAACCTAAAAGAATAATGCCCCTAAATTGTTAAGGCATTTTTGTTTTTTTGTGTTGTGAGCCATATCTACTTTCTATTAGACTTCACAACAAAATTAATTATTTTCCACAATATCAATTGAACAAAATAACTAAACGAAAGGAAATAATTAAAATATCAATTGAACAATTACAAGCCCTCATGAAAATAACAATCAAATAGTTCTTCATTCCACATCATCTTCAAATTCATTGAACATGCCAACATCGAAGGGGATTGAACCTACTTCACAAACCAAATCATCAGTAAAAAACCACCTACAAAGAAATTCTGGAAAGACAGAACCTTTACTAAAAAAGGATTTAGTATAGCCGGCATATATATATATATATATATATGTATATAAAGACACGCCCCAACCAGTGCGCCACGTGTCAAACAAGTACAGCCCACCGACCATACCATCTTTGTTTAAAAAATTCAAAAAATAAAATAAAAAAAGATCTAGTATAGCCGGCATATATATGTATATAAAGACAAGCCCAACCTGTGCGCCACGTGTCAAACAAGTACGGCCCACCGGCTATACCATCTTTGTTGAAAAAATTCAAAAACAGGAGTATAGCCGCCCGGCTATACTATTTTTAAAGGCAATTTGGAAAAGCTGATTATATATACCCTTTTTTTTAATTTATAAATATATATTATTTTTATTCAATAATACGTGAGAGTTATGTGTGTCTTGTTGAATTTTTGTAAAAAATAGGTGCTTTAAACATGGGAAATACGTGCGTACACGTATAATACATATTAAACGTGAAGGCGCTAGAATCTTTGTACGGATAACAACTCTGGAAAAGTAAAAAATGAAAAATGGGACAGTAGATACTCGTGTAATGGCCTAATAGTAATGGATAGGGCTCTTGGGCTGTTGAGAAAATTAATTAGGACACCCAAAAGATTTCACAAAAGACTTAGTAAATAGAAATTAATTATTTTGTGGACTTTTTCTATAAATTTTTTGAATTAAATAATAAATAAAATATCATTCCTAGTTAAAGTAATTGAAAAAGGATAAGACATTACATAATTATATATATTGAATCAAAGAAGTAGGAAAAAAAACAAAAGTAAAGAAACAAATTATACGTTTTTAAAATTTTTAAAAACGTATAGCCGGTCGGCAATACTATTTATTTATTAAAAAAGGATGAGCCCAGAGCATAAGTGCCACGTGTCGAAAAAGTACAGAGGACCGGCTATACAATTTCTTATTTTAAAAAAAGGAAAAAAATGGGTATCGCCGCACGGCTATACTATTTCTTTCAAAAAACAAACAAGGATCTAGTATAGCCGGCTGGCTATACTATTTGTATAAATGTATATAAAGACACGCCCCAGCCCCACGTGTCAAACAAGTACAGCCCACCGGCTATACCATCTTTATTTTAAAAATTCAAAGAAAAAGGAGTACAGCCACCCGATGATACTATTTCTTTCAAAAAAAGTAGTGTCCAATTTAATTGGAAAAAGTTTGAGAATTCAAATTAGAGATTGAGGATTCTATGGGACACAAAAGATCTGTGAAAACATGAATTAAAAAAACTGAACCGATTCAAAAACACTTGTCTGTTCCGTGAGCTAGGGTTGGTTAGATCAAAGGCTAGAAGTGTCCAATTTGACTGGAAAACGTATGAGAATTCAAATTAGATATTGAGGATTCTAATGGACACAAAAGATCTGCAAAAACCTGAATCAAAAAAACTGAACCGATTCATCCACACCCGTCCGTTACGTAAGCTAGGGTTGGCCAGATCAAAGGCAAGGAGTGTCCAATTTGATTGGAAAAAGTATGAGAATTCAAATTAGAGATTGATAATTCTAATGGACACAAAAGATCTATGAAAACATGAATTAAAAAAACTAAACCGATTCAACAACACCTGTCTGTTTCGTGAGCTAGGGTTGGTTAGATCATAGGTTTGGAGTGTCCAATTTGACTGGAAAAAGTATGAGAATTCAAATTTGAGATTGAGGATTCTAATGGACACAAAAGATCTACAAAAACATCAATCAAAAAAACTGAACCGATTCAACAACACCTGTCTATTCCGTGAGCCAGGGTTGGCCATATCAAAGGCAAGGAGTGTCCAATTTGATTCGAAAAAGTATGAGAATTCAAATTAGAGATTGATGATTCTAATGGACACAAAAGATCTGTAAAAACATGAATTATAAAAACTGAACCGACTCAACAACACCTGTTTGTTCCGTGAGCTAGGGTTGGCTAGATCAAAGCCTATGAGTGTCCAATTTGATTGGAAAACATACGAGAATTCAAATTAGGGATTGAGGATTCGAAGGGACTGGAAAGATCTGCTAAAACAACCAAAAAAATTGAAATTATTCAATAATATATGTCTGTATAATTAGCTAGGGTTGGCTAGATCAAAGGCTAGGAGTGTCCAATTTGAATGGAAAAAGTATGAGAATCAAAATTAGAGATTGAGGATTCTAAGGGACCCAAAAGATCTGTGAAAACATGAATTAAAAAAACTGAACCGATTCAATAACACTTGTATGTTCCGTGAGCTAGGGTTGACACTTTTGCCCGTCTCCGCCAAGCAATATGTTGTAGTCCACATTCGACTCCACAACATAAAAGGCCTTAACTCTTGTCTGATCGTACACAGTTATTTTCAATGGCAATATTGCAATGGTTTTGGGCTTGTTACCGACAAAGCCGCTCATGGCCACGCCACACGGGATAAGATCTTCCTTGGTCTTATTCAGGTTCTTCATCAGGGAATAGGGAAGAACATTGACTTGAAGGAAACATACATCTGATGGTTAGGAAATGAACTTTAGCCACAACCTATACAACAAAAACATTCTAAATGGCGGATTCATTTTGTTTATACATGTTGAGCTAAACCTTTTTCATTTTAAACCAAGTATCTTAGCCTAGTCTCTTGTAACACAAATAGAAAAAGGAAAAAGGCAATAGATCTTTTACCCATGATGACCTTTTCTTGATTTCTCAAGAATGAACACCTTTGTTGGAAAGTCCTTTTGTTTCTCTTGATTTTGACTTCTTCACCTTGTGGCTCCAAGATTGGAGTCCTCTACGTCACCACACCAAATCCTCTTAGAGATAAAGAGAAGGCAATCAAGAAGTACGGATGCTAGTCTACTTCTTGATTAGACCAATTTTTGGTTTATGAAAGATGAGATACAAAGATGATCACTCATCGACCAAAGTAGGAAACCAAAAACCCTAGGTAGGTTTTCTCCAACACTTAGCTTATATAGGACAACACAAAAGGCAATTGGGTGGGTATTTGGGGTTCCATTTGGTCCATGGGTCATGTCATCTTATGCCACTTTATCCCTTGGGCCTAGTAGCCCTTTGGGCGATTTTGTCCCTTTCCTTTTAAATCATATTTAAAACCCCAATCCAATATTTCTATATGTCAATATTAATTCCATAATTAATCTTTTAATTATAATTTAACTATTAAATTATAATTATAGTCTTACTTAATTGACCCTGTCAAATTGTTTGACTTTGGTCAATTGCTCAGGTCAATATGTTGACTTTTGATCGTTGACTTTAACATTTGATTATCAACCATTGACTTGTGTCTTCTCATTTGTACATCAAATCACATTCTTTGGGTGTGCAGATCCATAGGTTCCCTTTAGCAAGGTAGTGGGTTGACTCAACTCCTCAGAAATGATATACAAATTTAATTCCATAATTTAATTCTTCCTATTAATAAAGGTTAATTGAAACCTTTTAGGACATCCATAAACCATGGTTAGAATGACCGTGCAACTGAATCCTTATCTTATGTCAATACTCCTTATTCACATTATTAGATCATGAAATCTAATTGTCGATATCCTAGTGTGAATCATTCCTTTTATATGATTATCCCACTGAGATTTCAAGATTTCTTCTTTCAAGTCTTATCCACTACTTTGCGCAGAGATTTGACCAACATAGCTTATATCAGGCCTCGTGCATAGCATGCAATACATTAGACTCCCAATTGCGTAGGCATATGGGATGTTACTCATCTGTTTCACTTCCTCTTAGGTTCTAGGGCTCATAATCTTAGACATGTGAATACCACTTCTAACTAGTGAATAACCCTTCTTGGATTGTTCCATGTAGAATATTCCGAGCACCTTAGCTAAGTATAGGGATTGAGATAATCCAATTAGCTTTCTCGATTTATCCCTATAAATCTTGATACCCAATATGTAAGATGCATTACCCAAATCCTTCATTGAGAAGGTCTTTGATAACCATAGTTTCACCGAGGTCAACAAGCATATGTCATTTCCAAACATGAATATGTCATCCACGTGTAGAACAAGGAATACGACTGCGCTCCCACTGGCCTTCTTGTATACACAAGGTTCATCTCAGTTTTGATCAAAATGAAAAGTCTTGACTGCTTCATCAAAATGAATATTCCAACTCCTTGAAGCATGCTTCAGTCCATAGATTAGCCTTTGCAGCTTGCATACTTTCTCTTCTTCATTTTTAGATATGAAGCCTTCAGGTTGTTCCATGTAGATCTCTTCCTGAAGATGTTCGTTAAGAAAAGCTGTCTTCACATCCATCTGCCATATTTCATATTAATAATATGCTGCTATGACGAGAAGTATGCGGATGGATTTTATCATTGCTACTGGAGAGAAAGTTTCTTCATAATTGATCCCTACTCTTTGTCTGTAGCCTTTAGCTACTAATATAACTTTGTAGGTCTCCACCTTGCCCTTAAAGATACATTTGTTTCCAATTGGCACTATACCTTCAGGTGGATCAACCAATGTCCAGACTTGGTTGGCATATATATAATCCATCTCAGACTTCATGGCTTCTTGCCAAAAGGAGAGCCACGTGCGTCATTGCCAAAAATAAAGATTCTTTCTCTCACATGATATTATGTCAAAGCATGCATGCAATCTTTGTTACAGATTCTGGTTAACGTGGTTCAATTGGATGCCAACATGGGCAAGAAGGATACCCACGTACTCCTTTCAAAAGCCCATATGAGGTATAAATAATGGCACCTAACTGCCAGACCACCAATGGATAGTGTCCACCTTGGTGTCTTCATCAAGTTTTGTTCAGCAAAAAGGGCTTAAGAATGGCACATTATCGTTCGGTGCCCCCATGCAAATAAGCATATAAAGACTTCCAGCACCTCTCATCCGCTGAAAACAGATGTCATCTCTCACCTCTCGCTAAACCTCTCAAGACACCCATGGTGTCACACCAACAAGGTGCGGATCGGCAAATCATAGTTAGCCTGTGGCACCCAGCCGCCAATTTTTATCAAGACACCAATGCCTTATTGCAAGCACTGTGCAAAAGAAAAACAAGGGGCGCGAGGATGTCACCTTGCCGAAAACACCAAAACTTCCAGGGAGCCCCAAGATTTTCTTTTCAGTTACCCTTGCGGAAACAGCAAGGGGCTATGCAGCAGAAAAGGCTCAAAATTCTTCAACTTTGCCGAAGCAAGCCCGCATGCCAGGCCTTCACTCTTTGCCAAAGGCCCAAACACAAGCTCCCTAGCCGCAGAACAAGACCAGCCCTAAGGGGATCCGACACCGAAAATCAGAGGAAGCCACCCTTGCCAAACAAGGAATCGGAGGGGCTCACACCAAATCTGCCAAGGGGTGACAAATATCAAATTTATATCAGCCCAGCCCCGAACCAGCCCAAAACACCTAAGCGCACTTTCACCTCTTGCCGAAGGGAGCTAACGGTGCAATCTGCATTTGAAACACTATCACCTACCAAACGGAAAGGATCAACCGAAAGCAGAACAAACTACAAAAATCAAAATCCACACCCACGTGCTACAGAACCAAGAGGCCCAGACCTATGGCTGTACTTAAGCATAAATGAAGGCTCAGCTTCAGGTTCCAAGCTCAATCCCTTCTCTCCTTGGCCCAACCAAGACCCTGTCAGAGGATCACACAAACCACCATCATAAAGAATATACAAACAAGCCCCCAGTATGTTCTCAATCCATCCACCCTTGCCGTTCGGCAAGGGTTGAGCGGAATGAAAGGAGAGCCCCAACAAAGACTTACCTCAACGCAAACCCAGCTCCAATCCTTCTTCCAAGGCGCAGCTCAAATTTCGGAGCCCAACTCCTTCCTTCCTTGCCAAACGGCACCTAAACGCAGAAATTATTGCCTCCACTCAGCATAAAAAAGTATATTTCCACCCTTGCTAAACGGCAAAGGTTGAGCAAACAAAAGGGAGGCTCCGAAAAAATTTCTTACCTTCACAAGACCTAGCTCCAAGTCCTCAAGTCTCTTCTCACACTTCAGCACCTCGCTGAATCTCCAAGGCCCAGCTCGTATAGCCTAGCCAAGCACCAGAGGCCTAGCTACACTTCAAAAAATGGTACCAGACCCGGCCACCACAGCCCAGCTCTCGCCAAAACTCCCAAAGCCCAGCTCCAAGGCAGGCCCCGCTCACAAACTCTCAAGCCACCTTTTGAGAAAGATTTGTGCACCACTCCATATTCTTGCGAATCTCCACAAGCTCAGCCTCAAAATTTCAACACTTTCTCACATGCCCAACCCTAAGGACAAGCTCCTAAGAACCAGCTCAAACTCCCAAGTGACTTGTCAAACGGCAGGAGCTGTGAGGATGTTTTCGAGATTCCCACCTGGTGAACAACGAAAACAGTGCAATAGACGTCAAAAATTGATCTAGACACCCTTGCAGATCAAACCACATGTTCAAAGAAGCAAAATAAAGGACTCACCGCGCTTAAACTCCACTCGCCGAATGAGGATGACCTAGCTCTACTTCAGAAGCCCAGCTTCCACTCTCCTGTCTTTTAGACCCTGCCAAAAACAAAGCAGAGCCAACTGTTAGAACTGAACTGGCTAGGGGGGAGCTAAATTCACACCAGCCTTGCCGAACGGCAAGGCTCATACGAAAGGGAGAGCAAGCTTACGAAGTAAAGGCTCCCTCTTTTTGCTCAACGGGCCTAGCCCAAATTCACCAAACCAGCTGCTAAAAACATTACCCTTGCCGAAAGGCAAGGGCCTTGCGATGCAAAAACAACTCTCAACCCTCACCAAAATTATGCCTCCAATCCCTTGCCGAACAGCAACCTCCTTGGAAGAATTTTGGGGGAAGCCTCAATTACTAGTAGTGTCGAGACCAGTTCCCAGCCCGAGCGCACAACTCTCGCACTAATCACCAGCAGCCAAGACTCGACCTCAAAGCTAATCCTAGCCGACACCACTGTCTTACTGAAGCTTGGGAAACAAAAATCAAATCTCCAAGTCCTTGCTGACGCCAAACCCACACCAAAGTACTAGCTCATGAAGCCCAATTCAAAACTCGCAAGATCCGAGTGATACTCTTGCCGAACGGCAAGTGCCGTAGGAAAAAATTTGGGGCAGACAAAAAAAAAATAATGGCTCCAACAACAGGAAAACAAAGTCCACGGAGCTCTGGAGACCCTTACCTAAACCTGGACCCAGCGCTCTAAAGGCACCAGCCTCCCTACCTTCAACCTTGCCGATTCTGCCAACACCTATCACAACAGCATACACGGAGGTTCACAAAATGTTTTTACGGACCCTGCCGATCGGCAACAGGCTCCTCCAAAACAAACCGGACAGCACCTGCCGAAGGCCTAGCTCCAATGGCCCGAACCGAGAACTTTCCCAATCACCGGGTCTTGTCTTAGTTCCGTCACTTCGCTAGGCCTCCAACTCCCAAAGCTTTGCTGGGAATATAGACAACAACATTCAGCAAAATCCATGTCGTACCACCCTTGACGAACGGCAAGGGTCCAGCAGAAGAAAAGGAGGGTCTAAAAACAAAACAAAACAAAACAACAAGGCAAATAGCCTTGTCAAACGGCAAGGACTGTGCAGAAGGTAGAGGGCCACATGACAATACCTGCTGCAGGTGGAGAGACCCAAAACTTTGCCGATGTGTTTCACTTGCCGAAACCAGCACAGCTCGGCTGCGTTCTTCACCCCCTTGCCGAAGCAAGCCCAAACTACTCTCTTGCTGAGCTGCCGATGATAGGACCCGCCCCGAATCTTCTTGGAAACCGGGACGGACCCCGCCTAAATTCCGACATCACCCCGATGCCGGGCCCACTTACTAAAGACCGAGACTTTCTACCAAAAATTTGGCAGAGTCTCCCCTGTAAAATGAACATTCCCAAACTTTAACCTGTTCAAAATTACAGTTATAAACAACCAACTAGCAGCATGCTTTACAAGCAATAAAACAGTTTACAACAAAGGCCTCCGGCCTCACGATTTATACCCTCAGCGGGCGATACAGAGCATATCTAAGAAATTCAAATACAACAGAAGTACAGTTCAACTAAAAGGAAAAGGTGAAGGAGTCCCTACGAAGACTCAAGTTTCGAGAGCACTCGGTCCGGCTCGACTGTGGAGCTCAGTTGCTACTGGCTGGGGGCGCAAAACAGAAAATTGTGAGTGGACGAAAATTAAGTTCAGTTCAATTAAATCAAAGTAATATAACCCCACCTTTATAAAAACATGCAACGAATCCAGATGCATAATAAAACCGTCATAAGCAGTATATAAACATATACTAAAAATAATACCGGATACCAAATCCGAAATCCGTGAATCACACTTCACAAAACCCACCACTCAAAACTTAAGAGTCCCGATAGATTAAACTCTCAAAAACGTACCCAATGGTACGACCGGTGAGGAAGTATCCTTACCGAGAAATAAGAACGACAGAATATTCATATATATATATATATATATAGTAATATAAAATATAATAATAATAATATATAAATATAACCAAAATTTAGTTGTACCGGGGAAACAATCCAACCGGGGGATTGTTTGACTAGTCCACATGGCAGAGCCATTCCTTAATTCACCATGTGTCTAGGGAACGAGCCGTCCAACTGGGGAACTAACTCTCAGCCAGCACGTACAGCCGACACAGTCAAAGCTTGTACGCCTGAAATACCAGTCCTACGCGTGCAGACTACCCCAAATCCAAGGTCCACAGCAACATCCCCTCAAGGATGTCCTGAACTCAAATAATTCCAAGTGTATTCAGTATCAGTAATCAAGTTTCAGATCCAATGAGGTACATAGGATAGTGCTTAAAGCACTCCAAACAGACATATCAATAATCACCCCTTTACATAAACTCATATTAACCTCCCAAGTACCCCACACATAACCATATGTGTATATATTCTCAAAACCCAAACATATTATCAAAACTTTATGAAAACCACGAATTTCACATTCGAATATATACCATATTCAATAAACAAAATAAAGCAATATGCCATATTTTCCATGAATAAAGTCATGTTGAAGTTTTGAAAGAAAAGTCCACTCACAAGTAGTCCCACACAGTTTGACCCTGAGAGGGTCCCGCCTGCTGCGTATACGGGGTCGGAGTACCTGATTCAGAATACGAAAATGCGATTAACATCAAGCGCTTCGAAACAGAACTTTAAAATAAAACTCTAGCTTCTCAGGTTTCCAGTGAGTACGAGGAAAGAGGTGTTCTAGGGTCCAACTACCCAATTCGCACGATGAAACAGCCTCGGAAGACACTCGGTCAACCGACGATCAAACTTTCCAATTCGAGTCAACCGGGCCCACGGGACCCACGACCTCCGTTTTTCAATCCGGGAGTTCCTATAGGTTTTACAAGGTCTAGGATACACGTCCTGCAAGTTTGGTCTGAAACGGGCGGTTAGATCGCTCACGATCACACGATTGGACGGTTACTGAAACCCTAACCCTAGGGTTGGCATTTTCGGAGAATACGGGACTTTGTTTTTCAGTCCGTTGAATCCTACACGATCCTAAGGGTGTCTAGAGTAACATACTTCAATTTGAAAACGATTCAACGGTCGGAACATATCGAACCCGGATAACGCACAATATGCGATAATCCGTTCGATAGTCAAACGACCTCGGAATCGAGATCCACGAAATCCTACGCGCTCGTGACAACCTAAGGATCACACTGGAACAATTTGCAGCTCCACCACACTTGCCCACACGCCGCCACAAGCGCTGGCAGCAAGCGGTTGTGCAGAGAAATTCCGGTGACGGAAAATCTCCAAATCACAAGTCACCCTCCCGGCTACAGGTCCTACTCAACTAGGGGAGCACTTCATTCAACTACGGCCAAGCCCAAAACCGCCGGGAACTGGCCGGAATTTCGAATTGAAAACCGGCCAAAACCCTAACTTCTCAAATCGGGTTTTACGCAGCAAAAAGATCCAATCCTAACCAAAGGCAGCTAGAACAGATATAGAGAGGAAGAAACCTCACCTCAAACATCGGAAAAAGGCGGCGGAGACGATGGCGCAACGATTGGAAAATCCCGAAATGAGAAAATCTCGAAACGAACCAGTTGCAATTGCCGGCTGTTCTTGAGTTTTCCGGCGACGAAAGCTATTGGGTCTTGACCGGGACGTCGAGACGAAGCTTTTGGGACCGGTCTCGAGGGCTGAGGTGGCCGGAAGTGGTGGCAGCGTGGATTTTTCTGTTCGGGTGAACAGTAACTCTGGAGTTTTTACGTAGAGAGGGAGAAGAGCTCGCGTAGAGAGAAAGAGAGAAAGAGTGAGAGTGAGGTAAAACTGAAAGCAAAGCTGATTTTTACCTAAACCCTTCTCGAGTTAATTACGATTTTTCCATCGAAGGTAAATTGAATGCCGAAATTTCGTTACAAATCCAAATCGAGTCCACCACACGTCCACGGACTCACCTCAATGCGACCAATCCAAAAATACCAAACACTGCCCCAAACTCTCTTTCCGGATTAAGAAAATGACCGAAATACCCTACCCCAAGGGTAATTTCGTAAATTCACATTTAATTAGATAAAATACTTTAAATTGGAAATTTACTTGGAGTCGGGGTGTTACAGTCGAAGCCTTCACAATTCTCCGAGAGGCCTCAAAAATTTCCAAATCACCCCTGCCGTTCGGCAGGTTCTTTTCCAACTACACAGCGCTTGCCACACTTGGTTGAAACCTCCATTTTTTGACCTTGCTGAACCGGAGAAGACCCCTTGCTAGAGCCGTGACAACACGAGCCGAGACTTTCTGCTGCCAAAGCCGAGACTTGCCGATGCCGAATGCCCCCACAACCTTCAGCCTTGCTGAACGGTAGGAACCATGAAAAATCTTCTCACGAAAAGACTCGCTTGTTTTAGCTGTTAGGCACTGAAACAGTGAGACGACGAATCCAACATGCAGTTGGCGTTGGGCTTCGCGACCTTCACTCTTGCTGATAGACCAAGGACCTAGATCAAAGGAGCAAAGAATGCCTCCAAAAAGGCTCCCAAGCCACCCTTGCCGTTCGGCAAGGGTAATGCTGCAGACTCGGTGCCCAATACTCGAAGATCCTCGGACCACCGTGAGACTTGGCCTATGCTGCCGAAGCAGTGACAACACGAAACCATATCCAAATCCCCGAAGTCGAGGGTGTGCTCTAGCAGGCTGTAACCTCCTTTCGAACGGTAGCACTTGATTCCCAGCCTAGCTCCTCAATGCCACGCAACCCAACTCCCTTCTAACTTACCAAAGCGGAGAAGAGCGCAAGGCTTGACCATGCACAAACCTTGCGATGTGGAAGAAGGTAATGGCCAGCGCAACACAGCATGCTGAAAGCTTCATACGTAGTCTAAGCCAAGCCTAGCAAAAGACTCATGCCAAAACACAAGGGCTCGGCCCCATAAATCCCTACTTGCAGAAGCATGGGCAAACAAAATTCCAAAACAGCCTGACCTCCTTGCCGAACGGCAAGGGCCGTGTAAAAGGGCCACAAGCCTCACCAAACCCCAAGCTACCCAAGCTACCGAAAAGGAAAAAAAAAGAAAAAAAAGGCACATTTGCAATTTTCCTTGCGATATGCAAGCTTTGTGTCGCCTTCGGCATCTTCGTACCTAGCCACATCACCTTGCGACATGCAAGCTTTGTGTCGCCATCGGCACCCCGTGCCTAGCCACATCGTCTTGCGACATGCAAGCCTTGTGTCGCCTTTGGCACCCCGTGCCTAGCCAAATCGCCTTGCGACATGCAAGCTTTGTGCCTTCGACACCCCCATGCTTGACCACATCGCCTTGCGACATGCAAGCTTTGTGCCTTCGGCACCCTCGTGCCTGGCTACATCGCCTTGCGACATCCAAGCTTTGCGTCGCCTTCGGTACCCCCGTGCCTAGCCACACCTTGTGTCACCTTCGGCACCCCCGTGCCCAAGCACATCGCCTTACAAACATGCAAGGTTTGTGTCGCCTTCGGCACCCTCGTGCCTAGGCACATCGCCTTGCGACATGCAAGCTTTGTGCCTTTGACATCCCCTTTGCCTTTGGCATCCCTGTGCCTAGCTACATTGTCTTGCAACATGCAAGTCATTTACCTCTGGCACCCTCGTGCCTAGGCCCATCGTCTTGTGACATGCAATTATTATGCCTTAGACACCCTCATGCCCAGCCACTTCATCCTGTGACATGCAACTTTATGCCTTCGGCAACCCCTTCATCTTCGGCACCCTCGTGCCAAGTTCTCTCCCTTCCAAATGTCCTTCTTACCCAGGGACTTGAGGGACTATGGGCAGTGCACTATATAGCTTGGAAGATGAACTATGGCGTTGCTCGGCCAGTGCACTTAAAATTACAAGTCCCCAACCAAGAAGTACCTTCTTACTCGCAAACTTGGGGGACTGCTGTTGGTACCGTAACTAACCGAGCAACTAGCTTGGCTAGATCATCCACGTGCCATTCTTTGAGAGGTCATCACCTTAGCCAAAGAAGCATTACCACAAGTTACAACTCTAAGCAAAGCAAGAGGAGTCCCACATCGAAAAAACTACAAGAAGTGAAGACTCTCCCTCACCTATAAAAGAAGACCACTCTCTACTTAGAAAAGGGTCTTGAATCTTGACCCTTGGGCCTTGGACTCTCTTCTTGATCCCTGCAATATCTTATTCGTAATTTATTGAGTAAATAGACTATTTTTCTAAAAACACTATCTTTTACCAATAAGTTACAGTGTAATGTTTCTATATATCTGAGAACACAACATCTTACCCGTAATTTATTGAGTGAATTGCATATTTTTCTGAGAACGTCATATCTTACCGAAAATTTATAGTGTAAAAAGCCTATATATCTGAGAATGCAACATCTTACCCGTAATTTATTAAGTAAATAGCCTAATTTTCCAAAAACATCATATCTTAACTGTAAGTTATAGTGTAAACGGCCTATATATCTGAGAAACGCAACATTATACCCGTAATTTATTTAGTGAATTGCCTATTTTTCTAAAAACATCATATCTTACTGGTAAGTTATAGTGTAAAGTGTCTATAGATCTAAGAACACAACATCTTACCCATAATTTATTAAGTAAATAGCTTATTTTCTATAAACACCATATCGTACCGGTAAGTTATAGTATAAAAAGCCAATATATTTGAGAACGCAACATCTTACATGTAATTTATTACGTGAATTGCATATTTTTCTGAAAAACCATCTCTTATCGGTAAGTTATAATGTAAAGTGCCAATATATCTGAGAAGGCAACATCTTAAACGTAATTTATTGAGTAAATAGCTTATTTTTCTAAAAACATCATATCTTACCGGTAAGTAATAGTGTAAAAAGCATATATATAGATATATATATCTAAGAACGCAACATCTTACCCGTAATTTATTAAGTAAATAGCCTCATTTTTCAAAAACACCATATCTTACCTCTAAGTTATAGTGTAAAGTGTCTATATATCTGAGAACGCAACATCTTAAACGTAGTTTATTGAGTAAATAGCTTATTTTTCTAAAAACATCATATCTTACCGGTAAGTAATAGTCTAAAAAGCCAATATATCTGAGAACGCAACATCTTACCCGTAATTTATTAAGTAAATAGCCTAATTTTTCAAAAACACCATATCTTACCTCTAAGTTATACTGTAAAGTGTCTATATATCTGAGAACGCAACATCTTAACGTATTTATTGAGTAAATAGCTTATTTTTCTAAAAAACCATATTTACCGTAAGTTATAGTGTAAAAAGCTTATATATCTAAGAACGCAACATCTTACCCGTAATTTATTAAGTAAATAGCCTAATTTTTCAAAAACACCATATCGTACCCGTAAGTTATAGTGTAAAAGCCTATATATCAGAGAACGCAACATCTTACCCGTAATTTATTAAGTAAATAGCTAATTTTCCAAAACACCATATCTTCCGTAAGTTTAATGTAAAAAGCCATAATCTGAGAACCCTACATTTACATTATTTCAAAAACACCATATCTTAGTAAAAAACGCACAATCTTACCCTAATTTATTAAGTAAAAGCCTAATTTTCCAAAAACACCATATCTTGCGGTAAGTTATAGTGTAAAAAGCCTATATATCTGAGAACGCAACATCTTACCGTAATTATTAAATAAATAGCCTAATTTTCCAAAAACACCATATCTTACCGGTAAGTTATAGTGTAAAAAGCCTATATATCGAGAACGCAACATCTTACCCAGTAACTTATTAAGTAAATAGCCTAATTTCCAAAAACACCATATCTTACGGTAAGTTATAGTGTAAAAAGCCTATATATCTGAGAACGCAACATCTTACCTTAATTTATTTAGTAAATAGCCTAATTTTCCAAAAACACCATATCTTGCCGGTAAGTTATAGTGTAAAAAGCTTTATATCTAAGAACGCAACATCTTACCCGTAATTTATTAAGTAAATAGCCTAATTTTCCAAAAACACCATATCTTACCGGTAAGTTATAGTGTAAAAAGCCTATATATCTGAGAACGCAACATCTTACCGTAATTTATTAAGTAAATAGCCTAATTTTCAAAAAACACCATATCTTACCGGTAAGTTATAGTGTAAAAGGCCTATATATCTGAGAACGCAACATCTTACCCGTAATTTATTAGTAAATAGCCTATTTTTCTAAAAAACACCATATCTTACGGTAAGTTTATAGTGTAAAAAGCCTATATAATATAAGAACGCAACATCTTACCCTAATTTATTAAGTAAATAGCCTAATTTTCCAAAAAACACCATATCTTACCGGTAAGTTATAGTGTAAAAAGCCAATATATCTAAGAACGCAACATCTTACCCTTAATTTATTAGTAAATAGCCTAATTTTCCAAAAAACACCATATCTTGCCGGTAAGTTATAGTGTAAAAAGCCTATATATCAGAGAACGCAACATCTTACAAGTAATTTATTAAGTAAATAGCCTAATTTTCCAAAAAACACCATATTTTCCGGGTAAGTTATAGTGTAAAAAGCCTATATCTGAGAACGCAACATCTTACCCTTAAGTTATTAAGTAAATAGCCTAATTTTCCAAAAAACACCATATCTTGCCGGTAAGTTATAGTGTAAAAAGCTATATATCTGAGAACGCAACATCTTACCCATAATTTATTAAGTAAATAGCCTAATTTTCCAAAAAACACCATATCTTTACCGGTAAGTTATAGTGTAAAAAGCCTATATCTAAGAACGCAACATCTTACAAGTAATTTATTAAGTAAATAGCCTAATTTTCAAAAAACACCATATCTTACCGGTAAGTTATAGTGTAAAAAGCCTATATATCTGAGAACGCAACATCTTACCCATAATTTATTAAGTAAATAGCCTAATTTTCAAAAAACACCATATCTTACCGGTAAGTTATAGTGTAAAAAGCCTATATATCTAAGAACGCAACATCTTACCAGTAATTTATTAAGTAAATAGCCTAATTTTCAAAAAACACCATATCTTACCGGTAAGTTTTAGTGTAAAAAGCCTATAAATCTGAGAACGCAACATCTGACCCATAATTTATTAAGTGAATAGCCTAATTTTCCAAAAAACATCATATCTTGCCGGTAAGTTATAGTGTAAAAAGCCTATATATCAGAGAACGCAACATCTTACAAGTAATTTATTAAGTAAATAGCCTAATTTCCAAAAAACACCATATCTTACCGGTAAGTTATAGTGTAAAAAGCCTATAAATCTGAGAACGCAACATCTTACCCTAATTTATTAAGTAAATAGCCTAATTTTCCATAAACACCATATCTTGCCGGTATGTTACAGTGTAAAAAGCCAATATATCGAAGAACGCAACATCTTACCCATAATTTATTAAGTACATAGCCTAATTTCCAAAAACACCATATCTTACCGGTAAGTTATAGTGTAAAAAGCCTATAAATCTGAGAACGCAACATCTTACCCTTAATTTATTAAGTAATTGCTTAATTTTCTAAAAACACCATATCTTGCCGGTAAGTTATAGTGTAAAAAGCCAATATATCGAAGAACGCTACATCTTACCCATAACTTATTAAGTACATAGCCTAATTTTCCAAAAACACCATATCTTAACTGTAAGTTATAGTGTAAAAGGCCTATATATCTGAGAACGAAACATTATACCTGTAATTTATTTAGTGAATTGTCTATTTTTCTAAAAACACCATATCTTACCGGTAAGTTATAGTGTAAAGTGCTATATATCTAAGAACGCAACATCTTACCCGTAATTATTAAGTAAATAGATTATTTTCTATAAACACCATATCGTACCGGTAAGTTATAGTGTAAAAAGCCTATATATCTGAGAACGCAACATCTTACCCGTAATTTATTACGTGAATTGCATATTTTTCGGAAAACACCATGTCTTATCGTTAAGTTGTAATGTAAAGTGCCTATATATCTGAGAAGGCAACATCTTACCCGTAATTTTTTGACTAAATAGCCAATTTTTCTAAAAACACCATATCTTATAGGTAACTTATAGTGTAAAACGCATAACGCAACATCTTACCCATAATTTATTGAGTAAAAAGCCTAATTTTCCAAAAACACCATATCTTGCCGGTAAGTTATAGTGTAAAAAGCCTATATATCTAAGAACGCAACATCTTATCTGTAATTTATTCACTAAATACCCTAATTTTCCAAAAACACCATATCTTACCGGTAATTTATAGTGTAAAAAGCCTATATATCAGAGAACGCAACATCTTGCAAGTAATTTATTAAGTAAATAGCCTAAGTATCCAAAAACACCATATCT